TTTTTGCTGATGATGCTTCGCTGACAGCTCACACAGAACAAGGTTTGCAGACACTCATTGACCACCTTGCCAATGCCTGCAACAACTTTGGCCTGACAATCAGTTTAAAAAAGACCAATGTTATGGGCCAGGATGTCAGAGACACCCCTTCCATAAACATTGGCAGCTATACCCTGGAAGTCGTTCAGGACTTCACCTACTTGGGTTCTACCATCACCTACAATGTGTCCTTTGTCAGTTATGTTCAGGTTGACTAAAAGAGTGTGGGAGAACAAATCCCTAACGCTCAACACCAAAGTACAAGTGTATCGGGCCTGCGTCCTTAGCACCCTCCTCTATGGGTCTGAGTCCTGGACAACATACGCCCATCAAGAACATCGACTAAACACATTCCACCTCCGATGTCTCAGGTGCATCCTCGATATCAGATGGCAAGATCACATTCCCAACACGTCAGTTCTCAACTTGGCCAACATTCCCAGCATGTACTCTCTACTCAGTCATAGGTACCTGAGATGGCTAGGACACGTGTGCCGCATGCAGGATGGCAGAATACCCAAGGATGTCTTGTACGGCGAGCTGGCATCAGGCACACGGGCCACTGGTCGCCCAGTCCTGTGCTTCAAAGATGTCTGTAAACGGGACATGAAGAGCTGCGACATCAACCCAAATGACTGAGAGAAAACTGCCGGCGACCGACTCAGCTGGCAGCAGGCTGTGAAAACAGGCCTCAGGAGAGGTGAGGAGAAAAGATACACTGCTTCGCAGACCAAGACGGAGCAACGTAAAGAAAAAGCAACAAACACCTCTGGAGCTGCCACCGCATTCACTTGCAATTGCTGTGGCAAGGATTGTCACTCAAGGATTGGCCTACTAAGTCATTCTAGGCACTGCAAAACCTACAGCTGACCTCGTAAGGCGCAAAAAGAATTGTCTCTCGAGACACAAAGGCCTATGGATGGGAGAGATTAGGCAGAGAGATTAGGGAGATTAGCAAGTTAATGTCACGTCTATGTGTAACACAAGCTGCGGCGCTGCCAACTGCACTGTGAGTGGCAAGCGCATCCACGCAAGAGAACCACCGCAACGGTGGTCGTGCCAGTGAGACACACAGCCCATCACACAGCCGGAGCCATCGATACATCGAGACTAAGGGAGAAGAGGTGACCATGTTAGTAAGACCTCAGCTCGTTAATGCAGAGGCACCTAACAGGGAAATGCAACTTAGAGAGTCGGAGATAACAGCCAAACGGCAGGGAATAATGGAAGCACCACAGTAAGTTATGACTTTGCTTGCTTAATAGCGTCCTTCCAATGATTGCTCAGCTTATACCCATCTTCTCGGTTTAAATTGTCTCTGTGTTTATATATCTGGATGGCTTCATGGACAAATCTTTGATGGTAACTCAAAGGTTTGCAGAGTACCTTGGTCTCGGAAAAAACAATATCGTGGGAGCCCACTGCGTTATAACAATGATCAGCCACGGCTGAGGTATTGGTCCTACCGTGTTTCAGATCTGCCTTATGTTCATGAACCCGGTCCGAGACATGTTGCTTAGTTTCCCCAATGTAACTGCTGCCGCAGACACAGCTTAGTTTGTAGACACCAGGGTATTGCATGTCAGGGATCACATCCTTCACAGATGGGATCATATCACAAATTGTATGTACTGTATTGAATCGTACCTGAATCTTGTGTTTACTCATGATTTTGGAAATCTTTTTGGTGACCCCTGCTATGTATGGCAAGGTGATGGTTTTGATTGGGTCCTCAGATGGTTCTTTCCCAACGGTTGGGGTAATAGCTTTACGGTTTGTGTAGTCTGAATATCCATTCTTATTGAGGGCTTGGTGTACGTGCTCCAGTTCACTGGATAGGTGGTGCTGGTTGGAGATGCAATGGGCCCTATGGTGTAATGTTTTGATGAGGGAACTCATCTGGGATGGATGGTGGTGGGAGTCAGGTTTTAGGTAGGCATCCGTATGGGTGACTTTTCTGTAGACAGTGTCCCATTGAGCCATCAGGTCTCTTTTCAATTAAAACATCCAAGAATGGTAACTTGCCATCCTTTTCCACCTCCATGGTGAATTTGATGGATGGGTGTATGGAATTGATGTGGTTGAAGAATTGGTCCAGAGCTGGTCGGCCATGTGGCCAGATGACGAACATATCATCTACAAATCTCTTCCACAAAGAAGGATGTAGGGTGGATGCCTGGATGGCATTTGTCTCAAAATCAACCCTTTAGCTGGAACCGATTGTAGGTTGTTGGAAATTGGGCTGTTGCTCTGATTAATGACAATCTTGCCACCATCTAACTTTTTAATGTTTGGATCTGGAAAAGAGGTTGCACTTAGGAATCAGGTTATCTTTGCATTTAGCTGACATTGAGGCGGCTGAGGAGGCTGTCATGTTATCTACATGGCCCCAATCAGATGTAGACATTTTTTTCTGTCAATGTTAAGTCTGATTGCAAGAGGGTCTTGTCTAAATTGTCTAGTTCAAATCGGAGCAGTCTTATTCTCTCTGAGATCAGGGCTAGGTTGGCCCTGAACAAGATCCGTATAGCATTAGGAGAAGTGAGAGCAGCAAATGTGAGTGTAAAGGCGATTGGTATTACCTTAGTGTCACGGCATCTCTTCAGAAAAGTGAGCGACTCGATCAGATGAGCCTTCTTGTCTCGAAGTTTGTTGAAAGATCTAATAGTTGTGTGGAAAGCCTCCTCGTAGAGGTGGTTAAATCTTGACTTAAAGCTTTAGTGACTGCAGGAATTCATATTCGTTGGGTCTTTCGGTAAAGCTACGTAGATGGAACAAATAATAAAAATAATATCACATTTTGATCGCAACACAAGCAATCGTCATCAAATGAAACATATACTGTAACGGGAGAGCTGCTGGGGCAGGAAAAAATATATGGTGGGAGCGCTGCTAAGGCAGGGAGTTATAAAGGTTTGAGATGGGTGGAGCCCAAGGGTCAATGGGTGGGGCTACAGATGAAATTTGCTTGTAAATGTAAGATCGGAGAAATCTTGACAAACGAAGCTGTGGGGGTGGTCAATGTATTGTGAGAGATTAGCATGTCAATGTAAGATATTTGCTTGTAAATGTAAATTGGAGAGAGCTCGGAAAGAGCCATCGCTACATGGAGGTGGAAAAGGATGGCAAGCCGCCATTTACTAATACAGCTAATGGTGGCTATGCTAGTGAATGTAACTCAGAGAGTCGGAAATAACTGCTAACATAGGTAGGGAGGGAACATCAACGATTGCTCAGTTTGTACCCATCTTCTCGGTTGAAATTGTGTCTTTGTTTATATATCTGGATGGCTTCATGAACGAATCTTTGCTGATAGCCAGTGGGCTTGCAGAGTACCCTCGTCTTGGCAAAATCTATTTTGTGTGTGCCCACAGCGTTGAAACAATGATCAGTCACGGCTGAGGTATTGGTTCTACAATGTTTCAGATCTGCCTTTTGTTCACTAACCCGGTCCAAGACATGTCGCTTAGTTTCCCCAATGTAACTGCTGCCACAGACAGCTTAGTTTGTAGACACCGGGGTATTGCATGTCAGGGATCACATCCTTCACAGATGGGATCAAATCACGAATTTTATGTACTCTGTTGAATCGTACCTGGATTTTGTGTTTGCTCATCTCTAGCCCCGCCGACTGACCCTTGGGCTACACCCATCTCAAACCTTTATAACTCCCTGCCTTAGCAGCACTCCCACCATATATTTTTTCCTTCCCCAGCAGCTCTCCCGCTATATTTTTCACCTGACGATTGCTTGTGTTGCCATCAAAACGTCGTGATATTATTTTTTTATTATTTGTCTTTCCCGAAAGACCCCAAGAATATAGTTTGCTGTTTAATTGATTGATCAATTGATTGATTGTACAGACATTTCATATTCTTTGACAAAGGTACTCTGCAAACCCGCTGGCTATCAACAAAGATTCGTTAATGAAGCCATCGAGATATATAAACACAGACACAATTTCAACCGAGATGGGTACAAACTGAGCAATCATTAGAAGGACGTTCATTAACCAGTTTAGGTCATAACTGGATGTGATGTTCCTATCCTACCTAGCAGTTATTTTCTCCTGAGTTACATTCATGAACACAGCCACCGTTAGCTGTGTTAGTAAATGGCGGCTTGCCATTCTTTTCCACCTCCATGTGGAAACTGCGCTCTTACATTGATATGCTAATCTCTCACAATACAATTGCCACCCCCACAGCTCCGTAGTACCTCCCCCACATTGGCATTCGTCTTCCGCCCATCTCTAAACCATTTGTAAACATCTCTATGATTGGTGTCGGCCTACTGCAGGTTACGGAGACCTCTTCTACATTAACATTATCTGCCCCGCCCATCTCTAAACCTTTATAAACAGCCTGCTTCGGCAGATTTCCCCCTCTTTTTTAACCTGAAGACGATTGCTTGTGTTGTGATCGACACGTCGTGATATTATTTTGATTATTTTTTTCTATCTACGTGGCTTTACCGAAAGACCCAAAGAATATGAATTCCTGCAGTCACGAAAGCTTTAAGTCAAGATGTATATACATTGTTGAGTGGGTTTTCATATAAGCCGTTCTGGGTTTCGAACCTCACATGCAGACCTTTGCTTCAACCTTTTTAATTTGCTCCGTTTGTCTTTCGCTTGTTTTTTGTGTGTGTGTGCTAATACCCAATACCAATATTCACACACACACACGCGTCACACGAAGCATTCCCTTTAAAGAGCCGCAGGTTTACCGACGACCCTGGGGTCCAGACGGCCACTCGCCACTCATGTGAATCGGGGGGGCGGGGCCCGGGCGGGGTGTGGGGGGACCCGGGGAGTGGGGGGTCTCCCAACTTATGAGCATGGCAGCCATCTTGGGTGAGGAAGCAGCAGCACCGTGGCCGTGGCCATCAAGCTCCGCAACCCCCACTCCCGTCGTCGCTTGATGACGTCATCTCCGCGCATTCGTGGGAGTCTCTCCCCCGACCCTCTCCTTACTCAAGATGGCGGCTTCCCCCTCCACGCGCTATTAAGGGAAGCCAACGAGAGCGATGCACCTTTAAACTCGTGGTCGAGATTGCACACTCGTTTCCGTAGCACCGCTTTGTCGTCGTCGTTGTCGTTCTTGTTGCGTTTAGTTTGTTGTTTGTCCTTTCCGCCCCGCGGCCGGCGTCGCGCACCTTCCTGCTGAGCACCGTTTGACCTCGCGGGGTCAAATGTATACTCGCGGGGTCAAATGTTCACCGAGTCCCCTCCCACCGTCACCCACACGTGGAGCTCGCATGGCCGAGGCGGAGGAGGCTGAGTCCAGAGAGAGCGGCCCGGTTGGTGACGATGGGGTTGATGGTGACGACGTTGGGGTTGATGGTGACGACGATGGGGACGACGATGGGGTTGGTGGGGCAGGGCAGCCCTCTGCGAGGCCCGTGGTGCCCGGAGTCATCTACCTGAGCCGCATCCCGCCCCGCCTGCGCGTCAAACACGTGCGCCAGCTGCTGAGCCGTCACGGCGAGCTGGGGAGAATATTCCTGCAGCCAGAGGGTACGAGTCACGAGCATCGTCACTGTCGTTAACACCAAAACTCGCTCTCGTCGGTCACGTCGGCGCGAATAAGCTTAGTTGGATAAACGTCCACAACGTCAACATTTCCACCGCCATGATTCAGACCATCGACATGGCTTTCACCACCACCAACATCTTTATTAACACCATCTGCATAGCAACATAGTTGAATTTAGCATAATTAAGCTGATAATACTGTACTGTATAACGTCAACAACTGGAACAACAACTACTACCATAATTCTGTAACATCACTACTTCTGTACTGTATATCATCATTACCATATCATCGATATCACCCATTCCATCATCAACAACCACCAATACCATCAACACCACAACCACTTCTACAAACACGAAGCACCACTACTACCATCACGACCATCACTACAACCACGACCATCACTTCAACTACTTCCACCATCACTCCCATCACAACTACTTCCATCACGACAACCACTTCCACAACTGATATTACCCCAACTACTTCCACCACGACTTCATCATCACAACCACTTCCATATCCTTATGGGGTCGATACCACAAGTATCAAATTGTGGAGACGTCAACAATGATCCTCTCGATAGACTCCCCACACTCCCGCCATAGGAATGTGGATATTCCACCACTGGTTCAGGACTGTAAACAAGTGATCAACATCTTTTGAGCACTAAATCACAGACTTGTCTTATCTTAATGAAGAGACAACCGCGATGTTTCCTCCTTACACAACAGTATCTGGGTTGCTTGTACAAAATATGAAAAAACCTAAATTGCAAAACAATATACAGCACAGTGCCTTAAACGCAAATCGTTGTCTTCCAACGTTTTCCTGGTTAAAAGAGACGCTTGTACAAAGACGTGGATTTTTACCGGCACTCACTCTCGTCCTCAGCTCAAGAGCATCGTTGCACTAGCACGTGTTCAATCAGCAGGTGGCTCCAAAATACAGGCTCATGCTTGATATGGCATCGTAAAATACTATTCATTAAGCCAGTGTTTAAATTTCCAATGATTCAAGGCTAATAATTTTCTCGATAATTTACACATTTTTGTCCACGAACTACATGCTCCTTTTCTATTAAATTAATTTCCAATTCCTGGAGTTAATCCATCACAAGATCATGTGTGGTGGGGTAAAGTGGTGGTAACCCTGAGCACTTCCTAGACGTCTGGCCAGAGTGGAAGAGTAGGTAGAATATCTTCATAGAGGGGCTCTCGAGAGCTTCCTATGGTGGAGACCTTCCACTGGCGGTGACATGAGCAAGAAATGTCAGGGCGCTACAGTGTCGAGATGTTAACTACGTCGCCTGGTATGTAGAAGTTCATGGGTTCGATCCCAACCCTGACACCTATATATTTGGAGTTTGCATTTTCTCTCCCTATGGTCGCATGGATTTTTCCCCAGGTCTGCCGGGTTTTCCCTCCACATTTAGAGTCAACTAAACATGCGTTTTAGAGTATTTGGCTGCTATAAATTTCCACGATAAGCCACTAAGTTGAACTACTATTTGTGGCCAGGTCGCTCCTGGAAAATTGCTATAGAGCTCAGTGGGCCTTTTATGGTGAAATAAAATATATATATTTAGTTATTATCTTAATGTTCACCTTGTGAGTGCAGTACAGTCAGGGAATTCAGCAGTGGGCATTAGGGTTGATTGGAGCCTGGCATAGGAATGTCAAATTTCCCCTGCTGCTTTGAGAAGGGAGATATTCATTTTTATGTTTTTGATTGTAAAATGATTTTAATTTCCTCCGGTGGAAATTCCAAGTCAACCCTCGGCAAGGATTTCAACACTTAACCTTCCATTTCCCATCAGTGTCACCATGGTTACGCTGATATTTATTGATGTAACCCAGGTCGCCTTTGCAAAAAAGGCAATGATTCTGGTGTGTAAATGGGTGTCTTTCAACTCCGGTTTAAATAATAATGAATGTGCACCATAATTTTGGCAGGTGCAGCAAAACGCATTTCTCCCGCTTTCCTGTAAGTTCTCCCGATATACTCCTGATTCAAACTGTGGATCTTCCTGTTATTCGCGTTCAAGCACATATGATAGGAGTAACCGGGAAGTGGCAGCACATTCACCGTATTATCCATGCTTATCCCCAGATAAGGCACCCAAGAGGTGGTTTCGTGGAAGAACTGCATCCTTCCTGTCTGTCAGCCATGCTGTTGTACTAATCACAGCCATTGCCTGCTACTCCTGTTATCCATGAAAGCTGTAGAATCCATGAAAGCGCTTCTATGATCTGTGGTCATTTTCTTCATATTGTCTGCAATTATGAACTTGTTTGTCTCATCCCGCACCTCCTATTGGCACGGTTGGCTACGTACGGTGTGAAAGAAGTTCAACATACATCTTGCTATATTTGGAACGTTTTACCGTTTGCAATATTTTGTGGATAAGTGGAATAGCTCGACAAATCTCATTATCCCAATAACAAAAACATCACACAGTGGCATAAACTCGCGCATGACATCATCGACAGTAAGATTTGTGATGTGTATCTTCCGCATCACCACGGATATGAAAGAGTGACACTGTGCTTGTGTCTTCCAAGTTTCCATTGTATATGGCACTCCTGAAGTGCCAATGGACCCTCAATAAAGGTCATGGCACTTTTTCTGTATAAACTCACGTTCTAATTTAAATGACTAGTAAATATACAAAATAACCATATGGTTTTTAATTGTGATACTGTATATTTGTAAACGCATTACTATCTTTTTAACGCTTTCTAACTAAGGTTAAACGCCTATTTAAGCTTTAAACTAAACTATTTTTTTTATTTTACCAGGTAAGGCCCACTTGAGCTGTTTAGATCTTTTTGAGATGTGACCTGGCCACAAATGATAGCTCAACTAAGTGGCTTATCACGTGGAAATGTATATAGCAGCCACATACCTTGAACACATGTTGATTCTAAATGTGGAGGGGAAAATCTACACGACCACAGTGAGAACGTGCGAACTCCAAATATACAGGTATCGGGGTCGAACCCACAACCTCCTGTATACTAGGCGAGTTAGTTAACATCTTGCCACTGTGGCGTGTATCTGAGGATCACGACAACTCCCGTAGAGACGATCCGATATGAACGTTTTATGTGTTGCTGTTACGGATTTTACATGTAGGCAAATGTATCAAAATGTTGGCCAAAAATCCTCAGTAAATTACATTGGCCAATTAACCAATTTGAGATGACATCATAGCATGTGGCTGATGATGAGTGACTTGGGCTTACCCCAGTCTTCACTGACATTGCCTTACCGGGGGAGGCATGGGGACCTGGGTCGTAAGCCAGGCGAGATGGCCTTTGTCAAATTGTCATTAGGCCATTTACTTATACAAACTAATAACTTAATTATAAACGATATGACGTCATCACAAGTGACGTGATGGGGGTAATGCATGAATTATTAACTTGGCCACTTAAAAAAATGTACTTCTGATGAGAAATAGACGTTGAACGGTGTTACGGAATCCATTCGAATGCACGGTTTTTCTTGTTCTGCCGTTCAATGTATTAATCATTACGGCAGTTTCCTTGCGTGCATCCCACTCTGCCCTTTATCCCCGCTGTCCACTCCACTCTGTTTTCTGACCACCGCTGTGGAGGACCGCTTTTATTTATACCCTTGTATTATTAACGGGAGAGAGAGAAGTTCGTGACACACAACACCTGCTGTAGCCAGTCCGCACATAATACAACACAGGAGCCGGCATTCACGGTGAAGTGGTCATGATGTCAACACGACTTGCCGTGATACTCGGTTATCCCCCCTCCAGAGAAACACGGAGGTCAGGATTATGTTTGGAACTCTGTAGGTACACTTAGCGATTATTATTTTATATAAGGAACGAAATGCCGATCTGAAAGATTATTTGTTTGAATAGTACATTCAGAAAGGTGAATATGCAACTCTGCACTCAATTTAATAGAAGCGTCTAGCTGTTTGTGCGTTTACTCTCCAACACACACCAGTGTGCTGTACTAGTAACGAATTGGCACTTTTTTACGTGCATAACCTTACTAATTGGCCATGTCTTATGGTGGTGGGTTTAACGACACTTATATTTACACGATCGAACCCAAAAAAACCTCATGGATTTTATTGGTCACGAAAGCCTACGTGTTAAACTGAAAAAAATCATTGTTCTGCTGCACTTGTATGTATCCACGTCTGCTCCCCGTCTTCACCCAACTGCATTGGCCAGCGTGGTGAGGTATGGTCAAATAATCCTCACGACCCACACAAGTTTGAGGAGCCCCTGATCCAACAGTTGATCAACAAAGGAGACTTGTGTATGTTGAATTTCTTTCGCACCGTACGTTGTCAGCCGTGCTCATCGGAGATGCGCGAGGGAGGGACAACAGACTAAAGTATACATAAAGAGTTTTCAATTTAGATTTAAAGGTACACAGGCTTTTAATGAAGGAAGAGTGTTCCAGACAGTAGCAGAGGCACAGCTAACAGCACGCGATGCCATGACCGTCTCCGAGTGGCTAAAAGCTGCTGCGAGGATGAACAGAGTGGGCGTGATGGTCTGTTCTCCTTGACGAGCTCAACAAGGTATTGTGGTTCGTTTGTAGTTAGCACTTTGTGTAATAAATGTGCCCTTGTAATGTGTTCATGTATACATTTTATGACCAAATAGCACATAAAAGCATGATTTTTTTTCAGAGTGCACGTATTCTCAAATCGCAACCGTTCCTCTATGCTACTAAGTGAAAGTATGGTCTACACAACTCTCGGGCTTGATGCAAGTGTTGTGGCTGAACACCAGGAAATCACAGGAATACGTCATTGCTCAAATGGCTAGGGTAACTGCAGGATGTATCATATAAACCACCCATCGTCCCATCTTGCTGCGTTTTATCCACCCCAATGCTCTACCCTTTTTTGAGAGCCTTGTTCATCTTCAGCTGGAGCTGGAAGGCAGCCGCCACCGGCCATCCAATACCGCCTTGCA